CATTATTAAACATGCATGAATACGTAGTATGAATATGAATATGTTCGTGCTAATACGGAAAAAACTATGAAGTATATATCTATCGTAGACAAATCTATTACTTAAATTATTTTTGCAGATTACATCCTAAAGATTTTGTTACCTTTTTCTCTGCAGTTATGTTAAGGGGGTGTAGCTCAGTGGTAGAGCGCTCGCTTTGCATGTGAGAGGCCCCGGGTTCGATCCCCGGCACCTCCAGAGTTTTGTCGCTCAAAGAGTGTTTTATTATCTACTTTTGATGTGTTTTATCACTTGAATTGTATGTCTGGAATATTATCTTATTGCCTACTGTTGTGTGCAACTGCTATCAAGATTTTCTCTTTCACAAGATTTTTTATCCAAAATCTCGGTTTTCTCTAACACTTTCTTTTCATATCTATACTTATGTTTATTTTCTTCTTTCAAATAGCCAACACAATAACCGAAATATTTGTAAAAATAATTTAAATGTGCTTTTTTAACACAAAACTTCTCCAAACACATACATAAAATAATGAAGAACCGTTCGTAAGGCTAAGCGACCGTCTCTCAAACGCGGCAAATTCAAACATCAAAACACACTGCCAATCTATTTATATATAAAAAAATGACAGTAAATTCCATATACCATATAAAAGAAGCACACAGCATAAAGTCCGAGGATGAAGTTTATCTTCATTAAGATTATAAAAAAATAACACCTAATTTTGATTGTAGAAGTGATTCAATTTGAAGTGGAGAGCGCCTGGCTTACCAACGTGAGATGGACGGAGATTGATGCCAGTATCTCCAGAAACCTTTTTATATTTCTATTTTAGGTTTTAAAAGGATGTTTTATTCAGCGTGTGTAGTTGAAACGGTGTGTTTAGTTTTTTATGCATTATGTGCTAAATTCTTACGACTGATGATGATCGAGATTGATATCTAGTGTGGAAAGGAAGATGGCTGCAACCAGAGAACACGACATAATAATGTCATATATATCCTACTATCACTACATACTATATATATATTACCCACTATATATAACCAAAAAAAGGACATATAGATATTAGGGTACTCATACTTATATCACATATTATATATACGAATATTAAACTGTGCGTGTAATCGAGCGTGTCTTGAGTGGTGTGAGATGTGTGAGTGTGTCGTGAAAGTTTGTGTTGGTGTGTGTGTGTGTGTGTGTGTGATGTGTGATGTTGTGGTGTGTGTACGTTGAACAGCGTGTAACATAGGATATATACATGAATATATACTAAAATAGAATCATATATAAGTATGCATATATATGTGTGTGTAGTGCATGTGTGGGTGTAGTTGTTGTGGTGTCGTGTTGTGTGTGCGTGTGGTGTGTGTGTGTGGTGCGTATACACAACACACCACAACATCATTAGTATATATCAATATCAGAAAAATATGAGAACCTAGATATGCCCTATCAAATCTCGATATCTAATAACAAAGACAGTAGCAATTAGAGATTCTTAGTGATGTACACTGAGTCATTATATAGACGTATATAATCATATAGTAGTATATCTAAGAAGATAACAAAATCAATACTAACAGAATAGTAAGTATTATGCTCCTTGCACACGTATATATTTATATATATATATATATATATATGTAAGGTATTTATAATATAAACACTCACTCACGAATATATCACAATATAATATATATTAAATATATTTTAGAGAGAGGAATTGAAGATATAAGTATAGACGTGTGTGTGTATATACTGTCTAATGTATATATGTAGACTGTGTCATATATACTGTTATTAATATCTCAAAGGTGGGGTATGTAATATATCATATATATATTACTATAATATATTATAATATAATACACGTAAATAGTGAAACAAAGTATGAGTAGTATGCTACAACGTATACATCACATATATATAGACAGATAAGCAATATATAATATATAACAACGTTATATATACGAGTAGCCAATTACGAATAAGTAAACTAATATATAGATTAGTGGTGTCTGCTGTGTGTGTGCTGTGTGTGTAGATGGTGTGGTGTGTGTGTGTGTGTAGATGTGTGCTGTGTGTGTGTGTGGTGTAAGATGTGTGTGTGTGTGTGTATGGTGTGTGTGTGATGTATATGTGTATATATATATACCTTTCTTATATCTTTGTATATATATATATATATATATATATTATATATATATATATATATATATATACATACACACACACACACATATCACACATATATATGTAATGTATACATCTACACCATTTTGTGCACCAATTACTAAAGGTCACATTTATTCCTTAATTGTAATTGTAACCTCATTACTGTTGTTTATGAATTCGTAGTTATTATCGTAATTACCATTATCGTTATCAGCTTTATCATCATCAATATCCAACCTCAAATTCTTGTGTCAAAATGTGCAAAATTAAAACAATAAGACAAAAAATAAGAAAATATTTAATTTAAAAAAATCAGACACTTATGATTGTTACATTTATAACAATAATTCATTTTCAGTTATCTGAATGAACCAGCACTCAATACTGAACGAAATAAAGAGATAATGAAATACAACAAATATTCCTTTAAACTACGAAATGGTAACATCATCACTATATCGAATAAAGAATATATTCCAGAAAATATACATACATCACCTGTTATTCTTTATAAACATGAATAACAACAATATCACAATATAAATCAACATTCTTTAAGGTATGAATGATTATACTACACTACGTAAGTCAACAACAACAATAACAACAACGGAGAAATTTTCCGCAGTCACGTGGTCCGTCCTCAGTGGTGTCCGTATCCCCCGCCGCCGCCGTGTCCGTATCCCTTCGGACAGACTGTCTCGTAGATTTTCCGTGTCCTTGTGGCGTAGACGGTGACGTAAGACTTCTCCGTGACGGTGACGTATTTCGGGTGGGTGTTGATGACGGTGTGGGTGATGTATTGAGGCAGAGTGGCTTTCTTCGTCACGAATTGGGGGACCTAGGAGGAGGGGGGGGGGTTAGCGTCGAGATTTTTTTTTTTTTTTTTTTTTTTTTTTTTTTTTTTTTGAGTGTGTGTGTGGAGAGGGGGGGAGGGGTATGAAGGTGTGTGTGGTGTGTGTGTGTTGTGTGTGTGTGTGTGTGTGTGTGTGTGTGTGTGTGTGTGTGTGTGTGTGTGTGTGTGTGTGTGTGTGTGTGTGTGTGTGTGTGTGTGTGCAAGTGTGTTTGTGCGTGTGTAGTGTACATGCATAACCTCGCGTGCGTGCTTGCATATACGTGTATTCATAAATAATAAAAAAGACAAAACATATACTCTCCAAATCACATGTCACTCTACCGAACATTTAAATCCTCATGACCATTCAAGTCATCCCTCTTTCACTGTCTATTTCCGCAGAGAGAGAGAGAGAGAGAGAGAGAGAGAGAGAGAGAGAGAGAGAGAGAGAGAGAGAGAGAGAGAGAGAGAGAGAGAGAGAGAGAGAGAGAGAGAGAGAGAGAGAGAGAGAGAGAGAGAGAGAGAGAGAGAGAAGAGAGAGAGAGAGAGAGAGAGAGAGAGAGAGAGAGAGAGAGAGACCAGACAGAGAACAGACAGACAGACAGAGACAGACAGACAGAGAGAGAGACAGACAGATACAGACAGACAGACAGGAGACAGACAGATACAGATACAGATACAGAACAAAGACAAAGAAATAAATAATAAAAAACGAAAGGAAAAAAATGGCAGTTCCAATTTACCGCCAATTCGCATAGCGTGACTCCACCAAACCTCTCCCCTGCCAGAGCGATATGAAGCGAGCACGTAACTTCAATTCACGTCATTCAGTGATGTAAGAGAAATTGCTTCCACCAGCTGCGACGGTGACATGAGATGAGGAGAGAGCGAATCAAAAAGGTTTAGCCAAGAGATAACGATTCGAGAAGATGTATTAGAGAAGAGAAATTGAAGGAAAGGGATTAGTGGGTAGCGATTCGGAGACTCGGAGAATCCACAATGATAATGATAATAACATTGATGATGACAATAATAATAATAATAACTAATGATTATAATAAGTATTATTGATTATAATAATAATGATGATGATGGTAATAATAATGTTTATAAGAATAATGATAATAATTATAATAACTAATGGTTATAATAATAAAAATGTGATCTAAAAAAAATCACTCGAACTGATTCACTTCGACTGGACGTCTAAACTTCCAATAAAAATCAAAGAAATAAAAAAAAAAAGAAACGAAAAAAACGATAAAAAACACGAAAAAACGAATAAAAAAGAAAGAAAAAAAAAATAGAAAGGAAACAAAAAAACAAAAGAAAATTAGAAAAAAAAAAAAAAAAAAAAAAGAATACCATATATATATATATATATATATATATATATATATATATATATATATATATACATAGATATATATGGCTCGTAGAGAAAAAAAAAAAAAAATCAACTCACATTCTGGGTCTGAGTGATGAAGTAAGGCACAGACTGCTTGTTGAGGACTGTCGTAGTTAAGTAAACTGGCTCGTAGTCATTGCGAACTGATTTCCTGTGAAAAGTGTGTGAGAAAAAATGAGTGAGTTAATAACGGGATGGGGGGGAGAGGGAGGGAGGGAAGATTATTATTATTATTATTATTATTATTATCATTATTATTTTATTATATTATTTATTACATTACTATTATTATATTATTATTATCATTATTATTATTATTGATATAATTATTATTATATTATTATTATTATTATCACATACATACGCATATATACTCATATATATATAGATGAAAAATTTAATAAAACAAACCATACATTGATAACAAATAAGTTACACCTATGGGAAAGTGAGGCAGAAATCCCCAGTAAGTATGGGGAAAAAATGTTTAAAAATTTAATATTTCTAAAATATAACTGTGGTAGCAGCAACATACTCGAAAAGTTCCACAAATAAAATAGTTTTAAAAACTGAAGAAAAATACAAAAAATATCACCAGGTGTTTACTCTTTCACTGAAAAATATGTAAACAATTCGTTAATTTCTGTTTATTTGACATTTCTTTTTTTCTCCTCTATTCTATCTAAAAAAAATGGGATTTATATGATTTGTTGAATAATTAAGGGATTTACATAATTTGTTGATAATTTGCCACCTTTCCCTTAATGTCACGAAAAAGAAGAAAAAAAAAACGTACGTGAGAGAGAGAGAGAGAGAGAGAGAGCGTAAGTTTCACCGTTAAGCCATTTTTCATCCCTTTTCGAACGGCAAAATAATGCGTTGGAATTCGCAAACCGCACACTTGTTGTTGCAGACGAAACACGGTGAGATGTCGACTTTCGCGATGACTTGCAAAATTTACGTATGGCGCGCGGGAAAGGCTAGATCAGTAGCAACTCGAGGAGGTGTCATGACGTCAGATTTTGATGACATCACAAAAGTTGCGATTCTTTTTTTGGAAAAAGCACACGGGGCTTATTTTTCATTTTGGTCTTTTCAATTTTCACAAAGGATGGGAAATAATGATTTTAATGGTTATATTTTCATTGAACAATCATCAAAATAGCCCTGTGGATGAGAAGAGTGAGGGATTATGTTTAAACATGAATGATTCTCAAGTGGAATTGCTCGCAGTGGGAGTCAAGCCAAATGCCTGTATTTTTTACTCAGCTTGAAGGAATTAAGTACACCTTCTTTTAATAATACCTCCATGCACTCAATGAATGAAAGGTATTTTATTTAATGTGTAGGATACCAGGCCAACAAGACTTTATGAAGTCAAAAACGCCTGAAAAGCCAGTGAAACTTTAATGTTGTCGGATATTGTACAAAATGTAAACATGAACAAGTGCTATTCTAAAAATAGCCCGGCTTGGTTTCCTACACATCAAATAACATATGCAACAACAACAACAGCAACAACAATAATAATAATAATGATAATAATAATAATAATAATATTAATTATAATAATAATAATATTAATTATAATAATGGCAATAACAATAATAATAATAATAATAATAATAACTATACTACTACTACTACAACTAACAATAATAATAATTACTATTATAACGATAACTATCAGAACAACAGTAACACCAAAAATAAAAGGGACAGTGATAATAATACAAATTCTTATTACAACAATACAAAACGAGACAATTCTCTTTTTTCCAAATTTTTTTTACTTACCCTCCCACGTACTGCGGTACAGGCCTATATTCAGTCTTGTCGAGCCACACAGTCTTGTAGCCGCAGTCATAGCCCCCGCTAGCCTCGACTAGGGCGTGGGCGGCTAGAAGGGCTAAGCAGACTATCACGCCCATGTTCACACGTGCACACATCGCCGTTCACTTGTTTGGGTTTGACCTGAGGAGGTGAAATTGTTTATTTTGGCGCTGGTGATGAAAGAAAACGGATGCATTGATGTATTGTTTACATTCTCTTGTCTCTCGCTTTCATATAGCGTCTCTGCCTGTCAGTCATTAATCTTTTTCTTTCTCTTGTTTCTCTTTCATTTGCTCTACTACTCTCCCATCTCTCCGTTTGTTTGTCTCCCACTTTTTTTTCTTTATTCATTTGTCTATTTCCTATTACATTCATTCTTATCTCTTTAGGAAACATCTCTCACTATCTCACTTTCTCTCTCTCTCGCTTTCCTTCCCTATATCTCCCTCTCACTCATTCTCTCCCCACCCCCCACCACCCCAAAAAATAAATAAAAAATAATAAAAATAATAAATAGAATAAGTAAACAAACAAGAATGGGTGTATCTAAATTGTGTGATCTTGCCATCTGCTAAAATTCTGATTCGAAGGCAAACGAACTCTGAGAAGCAGTCAACACTTTCTCTTTGACAGCCTGGCGTGTTCACTCGGCTGTGTGAGAGGTTCCTAATCTTTCCCTTTCACATGTTACTATTGTTTTTACTAATTATACATATTTTAATTGTTTATCTTATGGCCAATATTTTTGCTAGTTATCATTATTTTATAATTAATTACTATTGTTACTACAACTGCAGACTTATTTTATTTTACAATTCACTGCTATTGCTAACAAAACTGCAGTTACTATTACTTTTACTACTATTATCATAATTGTTATTTGTTTATTTTAGTTGCAGTAAAAGCAACTACTTTATCAAATACAATCAACGCAAAACCCATTGTCCAACAGTAAAAATACTAATAAATACACAAAAGATATATATAAACATTCCAAAACAAAAATTAGAATACAATAGCTAAAATATTAACGACAGGCATAAAATAATCATTGCAGTAAATAATCCATTAATGTTACAGACGACAGCAGATGGATTCGGTCGAGAGCGAGAGTAAAGAAAACGGGATTAGGCGGGAAACTTTCGTATTTTGAGTGCTAATCTGTGAGACGTTTTCTGAAGCGAAAGTCGGTCGGGGTTGTCTTCGTTTTATTGTATTTTTCTTTTTTTTTCGTTTTCTTTTTTC